CATTTGCAGTGTGTGATCTGTTTAATGTCTATCAGCATAACACAACACTAATCGCCAAGCATCTTCCAGTGACTGTCAGAGAAATGTAAAAAAATTAAGCAGCTGCAATACGCCCAAAATGAGTTATTGTAATTACATTTAATTAGTTTAATTAGTTAATTATTTTGCTTACAGCTGTACAAGAGACTGCAAACATTTGTTAATATCACATTCCCTTTAACAGTATGGGGTGATTCTGCAGTTACACTAAATCATGAGCGCATATGTAGAAAGATTTTAAAAATGGGCATGGGGAAGGGGGGGATTCTTGAAGGAAGGGGGGAAAGAAATCGGGGCTGTCTTTGGCGTTTGTTTCTCTCCCCTTCACGTTGGATTCGCCAGGGAAATGCATTCAAGCCCCAAAGGGAATCAACCCCCTTCCCCATTAAAAGCTAAGGGGTCCCCATCAAGGACTTTCGGGGGGAGGGGGTGAGGAAGAGGAGGGGGCCCTTGGAAACTGCGCTTGAGCATGGGGTGCTCCGTTAGAGACCGTTTGTGTAATTAAACCTTTGGCAAGACGGGGGAGGAGGGGTTATCAACTTTTCCTTTCACATACCTCTCCTTCTCCCTTCACTCTATCTCCGAATCCAATCAACTATTCATCTTGCTGCCATGTATGCCTGCTCCCCGCATAAATTAATTGCCCCAAAGTAAAAATATATCATGAAGATATTGCTACACAGTAAAAGTTTGTCTAGCTTGTTGGAATAATCCATACCTTTTTTAATGACAGACTGGTCCAATAAGTTCATACCGCTGTTATTGGCATCTTCAACTGACTGTGGATATAAAAACATCACTATTCAAATTGACTGGATATTAAAGAATCGCGTACATAAATCATGTCATTGCAAACTGGAGTTTCTGTTATTTCCATTTATATTAATTCACTAGGGGAAGAGGGATTTTTTTTTTTACTATTATTATTGTTATTATTATTCCCCCAAATCGACAAGGAAATTAAATTCTACAAATTATATAGTCTTCTAATAAAAAAAGAGGTGTGAAGCATATGGGGTGCAATGCTTGTTTTGTTATCTTATAAAACGTAGTTATCACATAGACTTCTTTGTATTCGAGAAAGCTTTATATTTCTCCCTTTGAAAATCTGGCAATTTGGCAACATCTGCAAGATCTATTGCACGACATAAATGAACACGATTAAGGACAACTTAAATTCTCCCTCCCTTTTCCTCCCTCCCCCCTCCCCCCCCCTTTTTTTTTTTTTTTTTCTTTTTCTTTTTTTTTCCATCGTCACTTCTTTATTCAAGGGCCATTTACTTTTTATATAGAATAGTTTACATTATGGACTTTTAATTAAAGCCTGAGCAATCCCGAGTGCAGCGCAGCGCCCACATCGCGCAGGGCAGAAGCAGAGATTTACAGCTCCCGAGGTTGCTTCCATGCCCTGAATTCATGGGGACGGGGAGGGAGGGAGCGGGAACACACATTATCAGAAGTATGAACTATTAAATGGATTGCCTAGGAGAAGCCTCCCCATGATCTCCTTTTCAAAGCCTTTCCCCCCCCCTTTTTTTTCCATTTTTTTCTTTCCTCCCAGCCCGCTGAGGAGCACACCTGTTCTTATGGAATTAACTTCTTTAGCAGGGAAGAGAACAAAGGCGGGCACAGAGGGCAAGAGCAAATGCTGGGTTTCATTTCGCAACACGAAAGCGGGATATACAAAAACAGATCAAGCAAACAAACAAACAAACAAAAATTACCGCGGAAACTGCGGTCGGCACAGCAAAATCCAAAAACAAGAGGTATCATAAGAGCAATTTATTGCAGAATTACGACAGGTTCCGTTTCAGGGTAAATTCTGGGTTTTAGAGAAAGGGAGGACCCGTGGGTTTCTTGGGTTTATTATTTTATTTTTCTTATTATTATTTAGGGTTTGGGTTTTTCCGGCTTACTGCATATTTGGGGACTTGTCACATTTTTCCCTGAAAAGGAAATACATCTTTGCAGCAAAGTAATTATTTTCTTCCCTACTATTTTAATTTTATCTTTGCTACACCGAAAGGCTCAGCTGATCCGGATCCAGCTCTTCTCTCCTGCTCTCGCTCTGCTCAGCAGAGACGTTCAAGCGGGAATATGATTTAGGAGAAAATTACATCTCCCCAAAATGTGACAGAACAATATTTTCTTGAAGTCTTTCCTTTCGTTTTCCTTCAACCCACACTCAAACGAGCGCGCACGGCTGCTCCTTACGCTGGGTGTTTGTGCATGGCTGTGTCTCTCTCTCTTAATCAATAGGCTACATACCTAAAGGGCACAAAATAAAATTACAAAGTGTTCCCTCCTTTCCCTGAGCAGCTCCCGAAGAAGGATGATGAGCAAATCCTGCAGCCTGCTGGAATGCAGCGTGGTGCACCTCCGTGGCACAGAACTGGAGATAAATATGAAACGCCATCTTTCCTTTTCTTGGTTTTCTTTTTTTTTTTTTCTTTTTTTTTATCCCCCTCCTTATCTCACCTTACCTCTGGAGTCGAGGGCTGTGCGCGCGCTTTATGTGTGTGCGCGCACTCCGCTCGCTCCATCAGCAACGTGGGTTAGTTGTTGTAGTTAATGAGAAGACTCCTGTCTGATTTTCTATCTAATTACGCCCTCCTGCTGGGTTTTTGTACAGGATATTCGCTCAGCATGCTGGCAGTTAATAGTCACAGAGAGGATCGTAAAGATTTAATTAGGACTGCATGCGGAAACGTGGAAAAACAACTCAGACTTTTAATTACTAGACTTCTTTAGTTAAAAGTGATACCAGGGGTTACTTTATAAGAGACTTGGGTGTTTTGGTGCAACTTAACTTTCCGTGTCTCTAGCTAGCACATAGGAGCGGCGACGGCGGGGTGAGGGAGTGACTGAGGAGGAGGAGTGGAGGTGTGTGAGCAGGGTGGGGAAAGGTGAGGAGTTTCCAGCTACACTTTGAAAATCTGGAGGGGAAGATTCTCCTCCCTCCCCTCCTCCAATAATCTGATAGCTTCCTGTACACCGTGTTTATCCACGTTATTCCACAGCTAGGGATACAGCTGAGAAAAAAACCCTGAAGACTCTTCTTTTTGTTTTCCTTTAAAGAGTCTAAAGAACCAAGATTTCTCCCGGTATATTTTCTTTATCCTGTCTTTTACTAGTAAAACCCTATCCTTGCCTAGCCGGGGGAGGGGAAGAAAAAAAACACAACGCAAAAAACCTGGGGTTGCAATGGTATTTTTCAGAGCCCCTATTAGATGATGCCAATTTTTTTTCAATAAGTAGATCTTGGCTTCTCTGTTCCCTGTCTGAGGGCTGTAAATGGCAGATTGAAGTTTCCTCTCGAAAAGGGCAGCAATAGCAATACAATACGTCCTGCTCACAATAACTGAACGCTCTCGTGTTACAATTGCTAAATTCTACCCCTGGACAACGGCTCACACACAGCCTGGATTTGGTGTTTATGAAATAACCACTGTTTCTTTCTGTCACGCACTCTTTCGCTGTCTCGTCCTCCCTTGTCAGCTCAACCCATTCTCATGGCGCGTGTTTGATCAGATGCGCAAAAGCTAAAGCAAATAGACACATTTTTATCCAACAATATACTTAGATCGAGAAAAAAAGCTTTTTTGACTACCAAAAAAAGAAAAAAAAAGAACCCTTTGGGAGCCTTTCTGGAGATTCTCTCTAGTGTTGCAGGACAATAAGTATATGTCGCCTAAACAGGAATCCTTGTAGCTAGAGAGGATTCCTTGAATCTAGAACAAATCCGTACTAAAAGTCAGGGTGGAAAACTGCCCAACTTCATCTGTCGCTACTGGGGGGACGAGAATAGAAAACGTTGAAAGGCAGGAGCGAGTACTGGACTGCTTTCCCTCCTGCCTGTGTTAACTTGCAGTTGGACACCTCTTCCTCCACGTGTTTCTGCTGGGGACACCCTCTTCTCCCTCTTCCCCTCCTCCCCCAGCCTGAGATCAAACTTTTAGAAATAAAGGGCCTGTTTCGTTTCCCGCCTCCTCAGCACCCCAGAACAAGAACCCCAGGCTGTTCCTCAGCCTCGTCTGCCCCAGCCCAGCCCATCTCGTTCCATCCCCGGCCCTCCCGGGCGAGCGAGTGGCCGCGGGGCGCAGCGCTCAGAGCCGTGGGGGGAGGCACCTTCCGCCAGTGCTGTGCCCTTCCCGCAGAATGGATGTTTTATTGGAAAAAGGAGGGAGAGATGTTTTATTTGAGCTGAGCAAATCTTTCCTTCTCTTTCCTTCTCTTTCCTTCTCCTTCCTTCTCCTTCCTTCCTTCCTTCCTTCCTGTCTTTTTCTTTCTCTCTCTCTTTTTCTCTCTCTCTCTCTTGCTCTCTTTCTGTCTCTCTCTTTCTCTCTCTCTCTTTACCTCTTTCTCTTTACCTCTTTCTCTCTCTTTCTCTCTCTCTTTACCTCTTTCTCTCTTTCTGTCTTTCTCTCTTTCCGTCTCTCTTTCTCTCTCTTTCTGTCTCTTTCTCTCTCTCTTTCTGTCTCTTTCTCTTTCTCTTTCTCTCTCTTTCTCTCTTTCTTTCTCTTTCTCTCTCTTTCTCTCTTTCTTTCTCTTTCTCTCTCTTTCTCTCTTTCTTTCTCTCTCTCTCTCTTTTTCCCTTTGTCTCTTTCTCTCTCTCTTTCTCCCTTTCTCCTTTTCTCTCACAAGAGCAAAACAATTACCGGCTTTCCTTTGGGGAAAGTGTGAATACCAAAGCACAAGCAATAGTTAACGCCTATGGGTTGCGGAGAGAAGGAGAGGGATCGCCTTCCTGCATGCACAGAGGTAAAACTCGCCTTGACCTGCCAGCCGGTTTGGCTGAGCCAGGAGTGCGAGACGAGACCTGCGCATAGCGCCCGTGGGGGCCGGGGGCTGCCCCCGGGTCTCAAAACCAGCTTGGAAACCCGCAGAAACCAGCGACCCGACGGCCACTGAGCTCAGAGGCAGGAGCAATTCCATCCTGAAAAACCTTTCTATTCCTAGACCAACTCGCCCCAGCAAAGCTCGGAGATTTCCCCCCGAAGCCTGAAGACAAGCCTCAAGCC